ATCTAGGTTGTTGTAACTATGACAAAGGTAACATAATAATTGGGTCAGGAAAAGTCCAAACTAAGCTTCTCCCTACCTCTCACATTTCTGGTGTTCACATTAAATACACTAACAAAGGCCTACAGTGACTGAATTTATATAATTTAAATCGAGGGTCAATTAGAGAACATCTTATTTTCAAATCTGATCATTGCATAGCTCTAAATAGCACATATACCATTTTGCATTTGACTTTCTAAATGTTCCTTTCTTTTTTTTTTTTTTTTTTTTTTTGCAGAACCTGGGATTGAACTCAGGCCCTTGCATTTGCCAGAGAAGCTCTTATTCCACTGAGCCATCTCCCTGGCCCTCAATGTTCCTTTCTAAAAGAAGTATTGCAATCATTTGGATCTTGAAGGCCCCTCCCTCACAACCTATAGTGTAGTGGTGGGACATTTAGGCCCAGGGTAATGAAGTGAGGGCTCTGGGAGGGGTCTAACCTGGAAGGGGATATTGGGCCCCTTTCTTTTTCTCTCTTTGCTTCCCCATGGCCATGAAGTGAGAAGATCTCGTCTGTCCTTCCCTCCTACCATGACATACTGCCAATGGGACCAAGCAACCATGAATGGAAACCAGAAACCAACGAAAACCTCCTCATCAGTCATTTAACCCAAGCAGTGACAGAAAGCTTATTGACAGCACTATAGTTTCTTAAAGAATACATCTTATAATTTAAACAATGATAAGAATAATGACAGCATTTTTTGAAGGATCCTGAAAGTTAACTTTTCCTGGAATCACTTAATATTGTCTAAAGAAAGATTTGATTGTCTTTCTTCCATTGTTTTCTTCTCTGCCTAAAATATTTTACATGAGTTAAAAGCTAACAAGACAAGTAGATATGAAATTACTATTATTTTTTATCACATAAAACTAGTTAAAACTGTTTTTCTTGTTTTTACAAAATTCTGACCTCTGTCCAAAGTTCCAAGCACATGTAACATCTCTGAAGGACAATTTTTCTGGAAATCACAGATCTCAAGATTAAACTATGGGGGCCAGTGAGATAGCTCAGTGATCTACAGCACCTACTTAGGCAAGCTTAGGCAGGTGCAGGGGACCGTGGCTTGATCCCCAGTATCACATGCCATGCCAGCCAACAGAGAGAGAGAGAGAGAGAGAGAGAGAGAGAGAGAGAGAGAGAGAGAGAGAACAAAAAGAAAGAAAAGAAATCAATATTTAGGGGGCCAAGAAAGAAAGAAAGAAAGAAAGATAGATAGATCGATCGATCGATCGATCGATAGATCAGTGTTTATGGGCCAGGCCAGATAGCTCAGTGGATTAAATTCCCTGCTTAGGCAGACGCAGGGTCTGGGGGTTCGAGCCCCAGGGGCCATGCTGGCTTCACCCCGGGGACGTGCTGCAATTGATACTGGGTGTGGTGGTGCACACCTGTAATCCCAGCACTTGGGAAGCTGAAAAATAGGAAGGATCACTACAAGTCTGATCTGTGTAGTGAGACCCTATAGACCCTTACTAAGCATTTTTTAAAAATAACATATTCGTACTGCCTCTATATGTGAACTCTTAAAAATGCATTGAGCAAAAAGATCCAGTTGAAATTTATTACATACAAAAGTTCCATTATGCAGCGTGCTACTACCAGATGCAGTTTTAATGAAACACCTACATCGTAAATAGAGGAGAATAAAAGAAAGCAATGGGAAGGCACACATTAGAAGCCTGCACAAGGGAAAGAGAGACATAAAACCAACAAGAATTAATTTACCCTAAACAACCCGAACTATGAAACTGCACTGACACTAACAAGTTGCACTTAATTGTTTTTTCTATTTTTTTATATATTCACTCTACTGTTATTGTTTAAAAGCCTTGTGACTTTGTTGCCCTTTGGAGAGAAATGCTAAGATTAATTGACCTAAGCTGCTTTGAATAAATTTTTCTTCTTATAGAGGAATAAGCAAGCAGAGGGAAAAGGATGGAAATATGCTAAAACAAAGGGAAAAGAAAGAAAACAAGAAAAGAAGGAAATAATGGAAACAGAGTTTTGTGAATGAGGATGGAAAGAGGGTGAAAGGGAGGGGTGGGGGAGGGGAAAGTAGGAATCAAGGTGCACCATGCACATAAATTTCCTGTGATGAGTGTGGTCACTATCTATACCTAAAATATGGGGCCAGCGAGATAGCTTAGTGGACTAAAGTGCCTGCTTAGGCAAGCTTAGGCAAGTGCAGGGACCATGGTTCTATCCCTGGTACCACATGCTACACAAGCCCCACATCCAGAGTGGGCTGAGCCAACCACAGAGTCTGGGCATGGTGGTGCACACCTGCAATCTCAGTGCTGGGGAGGCTGAAAACAGGAGGATCACTATGAGTCCAAGCTGCATAGTGAGACCCAGTA